CCCACTTGCGGAAACCCTTCTTACTGCCTTCACATCCCTTGCTAGTTTCAGCTCCAGCCAAGCTTTGATGTCCCTTGTACCATTCCTGTATGCCTGTGCAGTTCCGCAGCCACGCCTTGTAGCCCATCCTCACTTCCCCTTTCCATACAATTTTTGCATTTGAGCTCAGCCAGGAGTTTCTCAATCAGCCAGTCTGTCCTCCTGCTATGCCTGTGCATGGGTTTGCATAGTGGAAAGAATCCTTTTGTAAAGGCAACCAGCTCTAGCCCCCATACCCCTCAGGGCAGCGTCCCACAGGCTTCTGCCAAACAGAACCCTGAACGAGACAGAATTGACTTCCCTGAAGTCCAAGACTATTACTGTGCTACTTGTCTTCCTCTCTGCTCTCTGGATTTCTAACTCTGTCATCTCATGGTCACTGTAGCCAACATTGCCATTAACTATTGCATCTGAGTATTTCTTCCTTATTCCTGGGTAGCACATCTAGAGCATCCCCACCACCCTGTCCAGCACCCAAGTAAAAGATGGTCCCTGACACACTCCAAGTCTCCTGACTTGTGTGTGTTTTGCCACGTGGCTCTTCCTGCAAATCGGAAGTGGTTAAAAATCCCCATGAAAACCACTGCATGCAATCAGGAGACTTCTTCAAATTGTTTAAGGCAGGCTTCATTCTCTTCCTTTTCTTGATCAAGGGGTCTGTTGCAGATGCCTACCACAATATCCCCTTTGTTGGCCTCCCCTTTAGCCACAATGACAAACTTTTGGCAGGTCTGTCATCAGGACTTTTTCTATTCCATTTATGCTCTGCACATTCAGACTATTCCTCTGTGGACCTCCCCCCCTCCATTTTTCTTCCCTGCCTGCTTCTTAAGCTTGTGTCCATCCATTGTGGCACTCCAGTCATGCAAGCTGTTCCACCATGTTCCTGTCATCCCAGCAATGTCACAGCTTTGTGACTGCACAGACTTCCTCTTTCTCTTGTTTATTCTGTTGCACACTTCTTTGTGGAAGAGAACTTCACATGATCCCAGTCACTTTGATTTCTTGCAGTGAGGGATGTCCCTTCCTCAGACACCTGTGTGTGTGTTCCCTTCAGCTCCCACATACCTGCAGGCTTTGGTCTCCCCACCCAACAAACCTAGTTTAAAACTCTTCATAAGGTTAGCAGTCCTGTCAGCAAAGACAATTATCTTCATCAGGTGCGTCGTCTTTTCCTAGCAGACCTCATTCCTCAAAGGGGTCCCATAGCCATAAAAACCCCAAAGCCCTGCCCGTGACACCAGCAACATACCAGAGGTGGGCCCAGGCAAGGAACAAACAGGTCTGATGGGCAGGGCAAGGGCCTTTATCCCATTGCAAAGGAGGTCCCCGACTACTGTTACCTGTCACTTTCAGCCTCACTGGCTCCAACAGCATGGCTAGATGCATCCCCCAACAAAACTGTCTTCTTGTCAGGGCTCTGCAGTTCTCTCAGTAAGCATCTGCAGGTGGAGAAAAAGCTTTCTTGTTTTTTCCTCCACGGGAATCCCAGCCCTCCCCTGGTTAAACATTGCCTCTGGCCTTCCCCGCCTTTTATACAGTGGGGGATGGGGGTTCTGGCTTTTACAGCAGCCACACAGAACCTTTGCCCTTCTGTTGGCATTCCTGATGCCATGCAGCCTTCTTCACCTGGCACCTCGGTGTCCCGACAAGAGCACAGATCCTGCCTGTGAGGCTGCTGCCACCCCCAACCTCTGAGAAGCTCCAGGCACTCCCTGCAGCCTGCATCTGCACAGCCACGTCCGCCCCAGGGTTGTGCCTGGGTTGAGGTCTCCAGTGTGCCGTGATAGTTGCTCTGGCTAGTGCCAAGGACTGTGGCTTGTCACCATCATCACTGTGTCCTCTACTGGTCTCAAGCACCATCTATGGCTTTACTGTTCACTCTCTTCCACTAACTCCTTCCTGGTTACACAAGCTGGTCACAGTGGTCCTCAGGTGTTAAGAAAAATGAACACAAGCCTGCTCTGCTCCCTCGTACTCAGCAGGCAGCTTCTCAATCTCTCAGTTCTTAGCTGCATTTCTCCCACCTTATGAATGCCAGCTCCCCTCAGGCAGGCTGCTTCCTCACGCACCACGTGCTGAGCAGGACACAGAAGCCTGACACGCATCTGCTTTGTCCCCATTAGATTTCCTGCTCAGTGTGCAACTCCTCAAACTGCTTTTTGTTCCCAGCTGCAGTTCATTCAGCTCATAAGCATGCATTTTTTTCTCCTGCACAGTGCTTACAAAGCTTTAAAAAGCTTTTCTGAGGAGCTTACAAAGCATTCTGTTCCCGTAGGTCAAATGACACGCTACAGCAAAAAAACCCCAATACTAAAAGCAAACATTCAGTTCATTGAACAAAGCGAGTGTTCCCCAAAATAACCTTTTAATTATATGCTCAACTTTGTTGTGATGTCTCTACTGTTCCTCAATCAATGTACAAAGACAACACTTGAAGACTGCACAAGTACAAAAGAATGATGTTCCATCCTCTTCTTGTACTTAAAGGTTCGCTATTCATTTATTGGCCATTTTTTCCATGACAGGTACAATAGACTTAGCTGACTAAGGCAATTCAATTCAAGGCCTGGGAGAGAATAATTTGTGGCACTTCTTTGAACAGCAAGTTACATACTTACATTTTGCCCTCTGAAATATTAAAAAGAATAAATGATTTGGAAAAAGTTAGACAGGAAGTTTTGAACTGTGACTGATTTTAAAACATGGACACATTCCAAAGAAGTGACATTGTACATGCAAGGAAGCTAAGTGAATTTTTCCTATTATTCTGTAGGCCGGGGGGGGGGGAATCACAGCAGCAACAAATTTAAGTACCCCAGCAGCCCAAAACCAGAAACTGTATACTAGAGGTCATTGGGCTTTTGGGCTTCCCCCTCACCCCCATTTTTATAGGAGAACTTAGTACTGTTCATGCTATATTAATCAAAGGAACTGACACTTTTTGGTGTTTGTTGCAGATCTATCAGAGGTTCAATCTTTGGGTAACTCAATGACCTTGAATAGCCCAGTTCCTTTTTCTGGTAGAAATCAAGGCAGTCATATGTTGCAAGTTATGTTTTTGCAATACTACTTTCATTATAGATAGTCTGTAGAGGATTTAGCTTCAAGATGAACAAAATCACTTCCAAATCTACCAAAACTACATCTCTAAAATGCTTCAACTTCTCTCTTGGCTCTATCTTACAAGGAAAACATCAAGCCAAAAAGACCTACCAAAAAAGATGCATCTGGCATTTCCTGAAATGAACACGAAGCACTGTAGTCATCTTGCTGAGATTTAATTCCTGCTGGCTAGACAATGCTGAAACTAGGAAGTTTGTTAGCTCTTATCTACAACTGAACTGAAAGACCCATAGATGCATTCTTTCCCGAAGAGAAGGCTGGGCTTTGTATAAGTATTTCATCAGTGAAAATTACTATGCTAAAAAGCAAAGTAGTAAACCCTATCTTTATCATCATCACCCAATCACCCTGACAGTTACAGAAGTGTTTAAGTTGTCTCAAGAGCTAGATATATTGTCTAAATAAGGACTATATTGTCAAAGCAGTCTAAAGCTGAGAGTGGTCTTATTACAGCTGAGGAAAACATCACTTAAGAGGAAATATTTTATCAGATAGGCCATGGATTCTCACTTTGCTTTAAAAAAAAAAAAGAAAAAAGGGTGGAATACAGTAACTTCACTACAAAAAAAAGACAAGCATAATTTTTATAATCCATCCTCATTACTACAGCCATATTAATGGTATGGAACTGTCAGCCATAGCTTAATCCTTAATTTTTTACTTCTGGAAGTCACAGGATTTGTTACACAAACTACAGAGTGTGAGTGTTTAACAAAAAAGCATGTTTCTAACCAGATGTAGTTGGTACAGAGCTGCACAGACCAGTCATAACTGCCCCTCAGACACTTTCTTCTCTGTTCACAGAGATGTCTGCAAAAAGGCAGAACCAATACAGAAGAACACTTAGACAGGAACATTCCCATCTTTTATGACAGGGCTCTAGCTCTTAATTCTAACAGCCAGATGAGGTTGGGTATTCAACTGCATCAGGTCCTTCAGGGAGAAGCTTCATGTAGAATACCAAACAATATAGTTTGAAACATACAGCAAAACAAGCATTCCAGAGAGCTTAGCTTGTCTGTCACGTTTAAGTAACTCTAACAATGGTAAATAAGACAAAATTTTGCCAATCAAGATTGGATTTTTTTTTTTTCCCTCCTTTGTCTGTTGAATCATAAACCATCTGACAACTCAGCCTGATACCCAGTAACCCTATTCAGTCTGGTGTTAATCAGACTTTTAAGATTCACCATCAGGAAATGCAAGATCCTTTCAGCTTAGAAGAAATCTGAGCATGCACACATTCTCTAATACAGACTGGACTAACTCTGAAAAGAACATTTTTCAAGAAAACTCCCCCAAACCCACAGGGCTTCCTGAATATCTTAAATGCTAAGATTTTTGATTCAAGAAGTCTCAAAACCACGATTTAGCCAGCACAATAGCTTTATTTCGCAATTTGAATTATTATACACAATTCAGTAAAAGCCCACAGGAGGAACAGCATGGAGACTTACCACTTCTTGGCATTTCCTTAAAGTAGAGCCAAAGTGCAAGGTCTCCAATTAACCCCCAAGGTAAGATAACAACACTTTGCTGTTAACAAAAGTCATGTTAACACTTAAAATATCTAATTAGTTATTTAAAAGGCCACATCTTCAAATGCAATTAGAAATCATTTAATAAAGTTTTTGTTTCTTTTGGTATGATAAATTGCCACATATCCTACAGCTAACAGGTAATGGAACATCATGTTTTCCCAAGACATCTAAAGAAAAAAGCAAACAACACTGCCTCTACATTATTCCGTACACCTTAAAAATGAATGCCAGAAATCAGCTGTTCCCAGGTGTTCCAGTGGAATTTATTTCCTTCAGACATGCTGTTGTTCCTCTTAAAAAAAACAAAAAACAAAAAAACAAAAACAAGCCCCAAACAAACTTTTCACGCCTAGTATCTTGAGGCACAGGTTCCCCCATACTTACAGGAATTTTTGCACAGGATGTATCATGTTACAACACTGTTGTTACCTGAAGTCTATGGCACATTGATTTTTGGGGGGTGAAAAATATTCTCCTCTGTGTTTAGCTGCTACAATATGGCACAAAGTTAAAAGTTAACACCATGACTAAATATTCTGATGCTTTTTTGCTGGCTATTTTGGGGTGCACATAAATAAAAGGCACACTTTTCCTCTCTCCTCTCAAACCATTTATGTACTGTACAAGCCTAACTTCCCAGCACTGTTCCATGCCCGCTGGCCCAGTGCAAAAAAAGATTTAACTCAGCATCCAATGCTAGTAGCAGCTCTATATGTTTAACCAATGGCTTTAGTTTAGCATGCTACTTCCACTGTGGTGACCATTTATGAGCTGCCAACAGTGTTCCTGAAAAAAATTAAAGCCTAAAAAAAAAGTTAAATTATTTATATTCACTTACATGTATATTTTCCAAATGTGTTCACAATGTTCAGAAAGTGCACATTTTGAAGTCTTGTTTCAGTATTACAAATGTCCATGACCTATATATTATAGCAGCGCCATGTATAACTGTATCGTTATAGAACTGTCAATGTTTCCATTACTGACCCTGTTTTGCAAGAATATAACTAATATACAAGAATTTGCTCTTAGCTAGGACTTAGTGTCCATAATGTCTTCAATATGGTATTTTTAAATATTTGGATTTAATTCTGTACAGCAGTCAGAATCTGAAAAACAGAAGGTTAGTCGTTTCACTTTTTGGCGCTCATTTTTACGTAATAAGGATTTTCAAGAATGAAAGCAAGCTTACAGCACATGAAGAGCCCTCAGTAATAAAAGCTCCACAAACCATTACCACACTGTTAAAAACTTAACAAAAACCAATAAGATTTAGCTAATGATTTGTGGATCCTTACAAAATTACTTTTCGTGATTTAACAACAGTTTACATCAATGAAATTATCATATGTAAAAAAACAGCCTGGGTCTTAACATCAATGGTCTGACAAACATATTTAAACAAGAATATTCAGAGTTAAGACTAGTGCTAAATTTAGCTCCTAAATTTAGCTAAATTTAGATTTGAGAGTTAAGATACTCTCAATTTGATATGCCTTTAAAAAAAAAGAAAAAAGTCCAACTTTCAGAAGAGTCTGAAAAACAGCAGTTTCAAGTAAGTTTGGAGCAATTAGGTTTTGTGGCTAGAGTTATCATAAATATGTACTACATGCTGACTTGACAAAATTGTGTTAAAAGAAGCGTGAGTTGAACCACCACCTCTGAAGGTTCTTCCTTTGGTTATCTTTAAAAAAAGTTCAGACTGTTACAATAACAGTGCAAGTTCATTATAAAGCCACATGCCTCTCTGTAGATGTTCACTTATCAATTGGTTTTTATTATGCCCACTGCCAGCAATGGACATTCTACTTGGAAAATCCACTTCCTGCTGTAAAAGGTTTGGCTGAACCAAATGAAGAAAATAATTCTGATAGACTCAAACGGGAACACACTATTTCATTTAGTTCTTGTTAAGAATATTTAAAAGCCTTCTCCACCTACAGTCTTTTTGAAACACAAGGCACAAATAGGGAGTGGACATTCCAGCAAAAAGTGATTGTCTGTAATTAACAGTCCACAGCAGTCTTCTCGTCCAGCACAATGAAACATTTTTGCTGTCCAATTCTATGCCACGTCTTCTAGGTAATCTGCAACATCACTTAACTGAGAAATGGTAAGGTCTTGCGTGATGCCTTCAAGCTAGAAAATAAGTGAAATTACAAACTCAGAAATCATAGAAACAATAAGTATTATTTCTTGTAGTCCTTCATACAGCACCCCATTCTTTTGGCCTCAAGCACTTTCAGCGAGATTTCATATTCCTTTAGGAAGTACTCAGACAGATCTTGAGATATTGGGATAAGACATTCCTATGCTGGATACTAAACCAGTCTCAAATGTTTTACATGCCTAGAAACAGACAGTGAGTTGTGCTACCAAACAATTGTTGTGGGGTTTTTGTTTTGTTTTTTAATCAGTATAGTATCTAATTTGACAGGAATACTAGGTGTAAAAATACACAACATAACAAATAATACAACCTTAACCTGTATCCTAGGAACCTATGATAATGGCACATTCCTTCATAGAAGGTTTAAAAAAAAGTCAAGACAAGATCAGAAGAATGTCAAGAAGAATAATTTTAAAAGAATCATACTTTATCACTGGCATTTGACTCTTCTGTTTCCACAGAAATTTCATCTATTTCTTCACCAATACTGATATCACTTTTTTCTGAGCGATGACTAGTACTAAAGAGAAGGAAAACCATAAACATAGAAATAAGACTTTCTTTTTCAACATCCAGGTAGTACATTCAGTTTATACCTGACATTTAATTTGGATTTCACTTCCTAGCAAGTTAAATATGAAGTTACTTAAAAACCCATAAAAAGTAAAGGCCTTCTACCTAAATGAAGCCATGATAAATACTGATAAATACTTAGGCCTCAGTCCTGTAGTTTACACCACCAATACCTTCACATCATAAGGATGAGGCTGTTAAATATTTTATTACTGACTACTCATGATGCTTTATTTTTCAGTTGAATATTTCAGCATACACCATATTCACTGTCTAACAGCATTAATTAAAGTGTCAAAACATTGTTAAGTGCAATGTTCAGGAAAAAAAAACCAAACACCTTCCACAAAAAAGCAACAACTTATCATCTTAAAGTTAGCACCAGGTTTTTAAGGAACTCATTACCTCCTACACAAAAGGGATCTGTTTGGTTTTTTTTTTTTAAATTTGTAACTATACGTATTAAAAGAGCAAACTGAAGTTTAAAGGAGTTCAGAGATACTGACAGACTCCAGCAGTAGTGACTAGCTAAAATATTATGAAATAATTCAAATATGCTAGTGGATATTCTTATAATGCATGAAATACTATGCTACTGCAGTATCATTCTTCTCTTACCTGTTGAAGTCATCAGCATACTCATCGTCATCTCCACTTCCTAAATAATTTTTAAAAGGTATTAATCAAACAAGTTTTCTTTTCAGGAAATGCAAAAAAAGAATCTAATCCTGCACCGAAATACATGGTTTGATGGCCAGCAAAAGTGGGAGTAGATTAAATTACTTTTGCAGATTAGGAAGAGAAGATGAGTTTATGTTTGCCATTAATTAATCTCAATCTCATTTACACAAACTGTTTTGAAATTGAACATACATTTTCAGGATGTTGACTACATTGATGAAGACAAGATTTAAATACTAGGCAGCTCTATTTTGAAAGAAAGCCAATACTTCTTATATCACATCATCTTCATATAGCTGCTAAAGCTTACAAGGCAACCCTCAAAGGTGTGGAGGGCAAGTAAATATGCCACTGAAAAACAGTAAGACTTGTCTGGCTATCTTTTTCCACAAATATAAATCCCCTCTTTTCTGAGAAACCTAGACAACAAAATTTATCACTTGGTACTAGCAAACGTATATACAGAATGAATAAAATTTTTGCTGCATATGTAAAATATTAATCCACATACAAGACACTGGTTTTCACTTTTCTGTATTCCTTTAGATCAGATTTCACTCTTAACTCCAGTAAGTTTCACAATGGTGTTAAATATACATATTGACCTAAAATCTTCAGCTTTTACTTCTGTCACTCTGTTTCAGTTTCTCAAATTCCTCTAAGAAGCCAGGCCAGAACTTACAGTTAAAAATATCAGATGTTCCTCACATTTAGCAGTTACTTGCCTAATTCTAGTGATCCCAGTTTTGCATTCACCAACCGCAGGTCTTTCAAAACAGAGTTTCTATTCAAATCTGTAACAAAACAAAAGTACTTATATCAGAAATTTGACTTGTGACTCTTTAATAAGATCCCACTTAAACATACCCATCAACCATTTATAACAAGTGTTCTTTTATAATAACTTTATATAATTTTATAGTATAGTATGGTAATGTTATATCCAATTTTCAGGTCTGAACTCTGCTAACATTTAAAAACATGAGTAGCAAACAGGGACAATCTCCCAGTATTCAAGATCAGATTTTACAACATGAAAGCAAATATCCCTAAAGAACTTGTGCAAATAACGTAAGATAACAATTACAAAGGCGTAAGTTAATTTCACTCAAAAACTGAGCAGTAGAATTTTATACTCCTGAAAACTGCTTTAAAGGAGTGTAGATAAGTATTTCATGCTCCAAAACATAAGATGTCCTAATGGTAGCATAATATATCAAAATGAGTATGTGATCAATCAGTGAAAAAAGCATTACTATAAAGCACATTACAACCAGAAGGGGGCCACATACTTAATCACATTTGCATCTGAATGTGTGGACCATTCACTACATTATGGGAAATATCTTCTACATTCATCAAAAACCAAAAACATGTGAAAACTTACTATCAGACTCCTTTAGTGAAGGTGCACCAGCCAGGGAGCTTAATCCACTTTTTAGACGGGGTGCATCAGAAAGGGATGCTAGACCTCCTGCTTTATTAGTTTCAGTTTTCCTAAAACAAACCAAATAAATAAGTACTCTACAGAGCTGTAAAACATGCATAGTGACTTTCTTTTCTATTATTTACTAAACTGTCATAAAACTAGAACAGCAATATTTACAGCAAAAAGAACAAGGGGAAAGGACTATTCATTCTGCAATCTTAAGAACAGTAGGCAGTTTACTGGCACAAGTGTCAAGCAAGACATTCAATAAGAAAGTCACTTTCTCACCTATGCAAAGATTTCTGCCTGCCTTCTTTCATAGACAGAGCTCCTGCACCTTCATCAGCATCACTATTTTTATCAAGGGGCCTTTCATTATCCCCACATGTAAATGCAGCCAAAAGAAGAAAGATTCAGATACAAATAAATATTTAAATTAGTTTGGTTTACAACTAAAAGAGGTTATGTCTGACAAAACTATTAATCCCAAGAGCAGGCAGTTCACAGAATGAAAACCTCTCAGTTACAGCAAGATAGATATCATCATCACATGTTAAAGTTCACTTGGCTACTACCTATTCCATTCATATATTTAAAGTATTGAGTTCAAATACTACTTGCAAGTAAAGGATGAAGAAACACTATTAAAAAGAGATCAAGATTTTCACATTTAGCATTACCAGAACAGTTTGTTACTGTGATTGCATTCTTATTTGTAATGGACAACATCTGAATCATTCAATATACCTGCATCACTAAAATATGATGTATACCATCACATATTAAAACACTTCAAAATTTTGAACAACGGGTGGGAGACATAGGGGCAATGAGAGCTTGGATTATCTCTTAACTCTGTCCTTAGTAACTGCTTGCTCCCTTCCTCTCTAATGCACCCTTCTTACAAGAATGGGCAAAGTTCCCATAAGGAATTTACCTTTTTGCAAACCAAGCTATGCTGGCACCTCTCCTACTTACTCATCCCTTGGGAATCAAGCACACCAGCACAACATACCACAAAGGGATTTCACCTGAAGAATATGTTCTTTTTTCTTCTCTAAAGGAGCTGCCAGGAGAGTAGAAGCAAAAGACTCAGCAGAGACAGCTCAGTTACAATTAGATGCTAGCTAATTTACTATTAACTTATTCAGAAAAGCTTACTGTGGAACATTACTATAATATCTACATCACAATAGCATTATGAGGTACAAATTACTACTTGGTGGATGGTGACTACTATAGACGCACATAATTTGGAAATAATTTTTTTTCTTAGGGAGTTTCTCTACTAGGAAAAAGAAATCCTTATTTTACTGAATAATTAAGAGTCTTTTTCTTGGACGGTCTTTTTAAGGAAATCCAATTTACCCAATTTCAAAGTGAGTTTCCCTTCTCATCATATGAAAATGGTCAAACAATAAGAAATTAGTAAATATTATTGTTTTCCAGAAGTTTTTCTAGCCTTGTCTAGTTTTCCTAACTTATCACTTAAACTGATTTTATGGCAACACAACCACCTGCTACAATGGTTAGACTTTGGTTAAATGCTAGTTAAATAAGCTCTTGAGTAAGGATAAGTAAATGCACTCAGGTGCAGTTTTAATCTTGATATTTCCAATAAGAAAAAGAAAAAAGAAACACCATAGTAGAGTTATTTGCAACACAGTATTTTCCAGAGAAAAATCACTGCTCTGAGGAAAAATACTCTGCTCCAACTAAACACATCCAATGAAAGCTGTATTATAAATATTATTTCTCAAAGAGTCAGTTAATTTACTAGAAAGATACCTAGTTTACCTGGCATGATTGCTTTGTGCTGTACCAGAATGATCCCATTCCAAGAGTAAGCATCTACTGTAGCAATAATACAAAAAAAGCTTCTGCTGTTCTGCCCACTATCAATGTAGTTGGGGGGAAAAGGCCAACATGAGGGGAGCTACTAACAAACTGACTTGCAAATGCTTCTGCAACCTCTTCTGGTAACCTCTACTAAGCTGGAGCAATTCTCTGATTACTCAAGCACAGCAAAAGAACACCATGAAACGATCCTGCGGCATTTGTCAATAGAGCTATCTAAACTAAGCTTCAAGATAACTCGACATAACACAAAGGTAGGTTTTTCAGTTTTATAACAAAGCTGTTGTATAGTTGTCCTGGTTTCAGCTGGGATAGAGTTAATTGTCTTCCTAGTAGCTGGTAGGGTGCTATGTTTTGAGTTCAGTATGAGAAGAATGTTGATAACACTGATGTTTTCAGCTGTTGCTAAGTAGTGTTTAGTCTAAAATCAAGGATTTTTCAGTTTCTCATGCCCAGCCAGCGAGAAAGCTGGAGGGGCACAAGAAGTTGGCACAGGACACAGCCAGGGCAGCTGACCCAAACTGGCCAACAAGGTATTCCATACCATGTGATGTCACACCTAGTATAGGAACTGGGGGGAGTGGGGGATCGCCACTCGGGGACTAAGTGGGAGTTGATCGGCGGGTGGCGAGCAATTGCACTATGCATCATTTGTACATTCCAATCCTTTTATTATTGCTGTTGTCATTTTGTTAGTGTTATCATTATTAGTTTCTTCTTTTCTGTTCTATTAAACCGTTCTTATCTCAACCCACAAGTTTTACTTCTTTTCCCGGTTTTCTCCCCCATCCCACCGGGACAGGGGGAGTCAGTGAGCAGCTGCGTGGTGCTTAGTTGCTGGCTGGGGTTAAACCACAACATAGTTCAGTCACTAGTTCTTGTTTCAAATGGTATTTTTCAGTCATCAGACTCCACAGATGTACAATAAAAATTGCTCTTCAGAAGCATCTGCAAAATTGGCATACACAGAAATAACAACACTTCACTGAAAACATAGAACTGCACAGAAAAGGTGCTGCACTGTGAAGAGGAAACCCTCAACTGTGAGAAAAGTTTCCTTATTCTCACATTTTATGGAGTCAGTTTACACATTCACCAGATTTTCTGTACTCCTTACAAAGCCATACAGATATCTAAAGCACTATCCCTGTCATTGTCCACTTCCTTTAGTGCTGATCTCCACTGCAGCTCTGCTGCAAGAAGAAATAGTAATGTCTGTGCCTCATATAAGTTCATTCCACCAAACAAAGGTTGGGGACATTATATAGTCTAACTGATGCACCTTAAAGTGATACAGGTTTTTCCACTCATGGTACATCCAAGAGATCCCAGATGACACTGTGTATTTCAAAGAATAGAATCACAGAAATGCACATTTCAGAAACAAAATGTTATAGACCAGATCTAAACACTTGCATTTACAAGTGCGAATAATCAAACATTAGCTAGCTCTCAAAGGTCTGTCTGCAAACATACTGAAGACAAAAAAAACCCTATATTAAGTAGAACATACATGTTACTTACCAGCCATAAGTTCTTTCTGGTTTGGGTATAGGATCATCAAAAAAAGAATCTCCCTCTGCATCATCTTCATCCACACCTGGATCACTTTTTTCTTTGGTATTTAAGTCTTTGTTTTCTAGTTGAGGATCTAGTTTTGTTTCATTAGGCAGAAAATGAATGCTTCTTTTGCTTGCTTCCCCTGATGAGACACTTGTATCACTTTGAGTGGTTTCAGTAGCCTTGAAATATAAAGAAAAAAGCCCTCACTGAAAGGAATAAGTATTTCTGTCTCATAATATTTTAAGTGGTAATATAAATATACAACATATAATATACACCTACCATCAATTTTTAAAAAGTTACCTCAAATTTATTAGTACTTCTCAGGAATTTATTAGTAGCAGGAGGAATCACACAACAGAAAAAAACCTGTTTTATCACTTTAGAAAGGAAATGTTCTTTATTGTTGCCACCATTAAAAAAAGTTATTCCATACTGCATTGCTTTACTATCTAAATCACCTCTACTATTAAAGTAACTATTTTTAAAAGATGTTGGTCATCAAATAAAGAAATCTACAGACAGACTGATTCTTACCCTCTAGCTTTGAATACGGGGGGGGGTGGTAGTTTTTTTACAGCCCAAAAGTTACATGATGCTTTATTAGTGTTATTTTGCAACTTATCTATAAACAAATGTTGTTAGTTACAGCCCTTGTCTTCAAAAGAAATCCGTTTAAACCCATGCAAATTACTCTAACTTCCACATTAAATGGTAATCTCTGCAATATAGTATTAGGTTTTAAAGCAGCAAGCATAAGACGACTGCAGTTAATGACGTTTTCTCCCTCCAAATACTAAAAACAAAAATGACACAAACAAGATACTTTAAAAGTACATAACTTTCAGTCTTTATCACACTTATGGCTCAGTCCTACAGATACTCAACCATGTGAAGTCTATTCTATATGGTAACTTTAAGATCAAGTAATACGGCTCAAGTCGTGTCTTTGCAAAACTTCTTGGCCCAAAGAACAATAATCAAATTTACCTAGATAATCAAGCTGTTGTGAAAAAATGGACTTTTATTTTTAAACAATAGCATCTTGCTACCTAGCAAGCAGTACTGCAATTTCTATCTTCCCCTGAAATTATTAAAATTGAGCCAGTGAAAAGTTAGATTAACTTCCTTCCTGCACACTAGTAATAGCAACAGTTCTGAAACAAAACCAACAGTATTGTTTAATCCAGATAACCAACATGTAGGTTGCACTGTCCCTAGTATTTCTTTATCAGTCATCAACTTTCATTCAGAAGGCTGAAGTAAAATTTTCAAACCGTAGGCCACGAAACTTTAAAAAGGCCTACCAAGGTCATTTTATCTCAGTCACAGAACCACATTCAATTGCTGACAGCTCGGTTCTTCTAGGACAAAAAAAAAAGTACTTATACCTGTAAGTGGTAGTAACAACAATATCTTAATTTCCTATTGTTTAGGGTTTGTGTGGCAATATCTTAATTGCCTATTGTTTTGGGTTTGTTTGTGATTTGATTGGTAACAAGTTAAATTGATTTTGGTTTTTTCCCCCAAGTTGAGTCTGGTTTTTGCCCGTGACCGTAAGTGGCGAGTGATCCCTCCCTGTCCTTGTCTCAACCCACAAGCGTTTCATATTTTCTCCTCCCCATCCCACCAGGGCCAGAGCAGGGTTGAGTGAGCACACAGCTATATGGTGCTTTGTTGCCAGCTGGGCTTAAATCACAACACGTATCCTAGAGGATTAGAATTGTTGTTGAAAATTAAGAACTTATTGATACCCTGACTGGAGTAAAAGGGAAGTTACAGCTACTTTTCTGTTCTGGGCCCTGAGGGAGTGAGTTGCTGCTATCTCGTCTGAGAAACTACGAGCACAACAGTTGACCTTTGCTTGAATTCATGTATCGTAAAGTTTTGCTAAAGTGAAATAACTACTTTCAAATTGTAGTCATAGGTTAACCATGGCTAAGGGTTCAAAGAGCAACATGCCTACCTTGGGTTTCGGACTAATGGTGTTAATAAGATAAGTCAGTGTGGTTTCACGCTTGCACCTAAACAAATTTAATTCTTTGCTGCTGCCAAGAGCTGTGGTCTTGGTGTCTCCTATCACACTCCCTTCTACATTACATGTATTGGTTGCCAAGTCACAGTCAAAGCCAGTTCAGTTCACAGGTTTGGTGAAAAACCACCAGAGAATCTCAAGTTTCAATCAGGAAGTCTAGACTGTTCAGGTAACTTCCATCTTGCTCCAGCTGGGACTGGCTAAAATTTCTTCCTCCTGCGTTATTTTTACTCCAAATATTTTGCATAGAAGAATATTCTCCCATCCTGCCTTTGCCAAGGAGAGAGAGAACCAGGAAAAAATATATCTATCTAAGAACTATAGCCCTATTAAGATATCCACTGCTTATTCTTAGAGGAGTATGTAGTCCAACCAACAGCTGTTGCTGTTTCTATGAGGAAACACCTATACAGAAACCATTTTTCTCCAGTTTGAGATAAATGTTTTCATGAAGGATTCATCAACATATTATGAAAAGCATTTCCAGAACATGTTCATCTATGTCCCACTGCAATAGAATTATGATTTGCTTCCCATAGAAGATGGGTATAAAGAATATGAAAAGCGTGACCATAAATTCCAACTTGTTGGAACTTTTGGGGGATTAAGTGTATACACATTAAAAAAATGCCACTATCAGCTGGACCAGTCCCAATCACTATCATTACGCTGAAGTCAGTCAATAGGAGAAGCTTTTGCATCTATGGACTAGTACACCTAAACAGTTGATAGCAGCCTGAAAAATACTGACAACCTCAACACAGAGAAGAATACAACACACTTTAATACAGTATCACTTCTGGAAAACAGTACTAATCTTTAGAAATCATTCAGACATGTTTTGTATTTATTTTCTACCCAGTTTGGACAGCACTATTTGAGCTGGGTACAGGAGTTACTGTTTTGTACAGGCCCAAACAATTGTGGTAAAAGAACTAAGACTGTCATTTACTCCTGTTATAAACTTAAACAACAGGAATGACTGTTACTACTCCATGATACCTCCTCTAAAGCAGAGTTTCCAGGCATAACTTAAAACTCGTTCTTATCGATCTAGTTTCCTAATGAAACAAGTCTTAAGATATTATACTCCTCTGTGCTTATGTCTCTGTCTTCCCCTAACTAATGTACTGGACTGACTGGCGAAGTTCAACCACTGCAAAAAGGGTAGAAGTTTCAACTGCCCCCGCCCCCCAAAAAGCACAAACCAAAAAACAGCCCCAAAACCCAACAAAACAAACAAACCCACCAACAAAACCCTGCATAACTGCATTGCCAAAAGCTCTGTCAAGAACAGACATAAAGGAGTAAGATTCATACCAGACAGAGGATGCACCAACCTTGAGACGTGTGCATGCACACCCAGAAAAACACCCATATGAAGACTGGTTCAATTTACAAGCTACTGGAACTACTTTTTTCCTCCTCTAGACAAGTATGCTTTTCCTCAGGAAAAGCCATGCAACAAACACTTAGCTCTTCTCTTTCTGACCTACTTATTTCAAATAAAGTAATTTAAATCTGAAGACGAAAGGTGGCATATGCAAGGTAGAATGGAATACTTATGAATTAACTCATCTTCAGTAGTTCTTTTTAGCTTATCTAGAACCGCCCTAAGACAGAAGTTAGGGCTCAGGTAGGAAGCAATAGTAACAGTGATATTTAATCAGCATTCAGATCTTTTTAGTGGATTTGTTTTGTTTTAAAAGCTGGTGCCAAACAAGAACTATATTCTCCTAAAGCAGGTCTGAAATTATTAGAATTTCCATTCAAAGGTCAGTTACAGAAATATTAGCTTTTAAAATATTAGCAACAAGCACAGCAATTAATAAAGTAACTTAACCTTGAAATGAAGCTTGCTTTTCAAATTGTATAGTTTTCTGGTTTTGCATGGCAAAAAACTAAAGAACTGGAATAAAATGAAGCAGATCCAAACTGAGCTGTCATTTTATTTTCTTTTATCCTTATCACTCCCTCTCCAAAGTGAATAAGCTAACATCAAAATCCACGCAATGTTCTATTTCCTCAGTTTTCATTAGTGAGTTGGAAAGCTTCTAAACTATTTTCAGTAATCTTGAAAAAAACTATTAAAATTTTTTATGTGATCAGATTACATCAATAATTTGAACAAACTTTCATATTTTAATCAGGGATGATTTGCTTTGGATTTTGGAGGTTGTTTTGGGTTGGTTTCCGCCCCCCCCCGCATTGGGTGTAGTGGGTAGCTGGTTTCTTGTGGAAAAGAGGCTTAAGTGATCATGCCCCTTTTCGTGCCCTACACTTTCCCATAATTCTCAACCTGTTGATCAGTTCCAGTCAAATGTAAAGGAGTACTAGAGGCCTGGAAGATGTTAGTTAATACAGATTTTGTGCTAACAGGAAGCAAGAGAGAAAAATCAAGCCACAGGCCACAACACAGATAGTTGTATCCTAACACCTTATCAATCCCAAGCAGCAATCAGCCAGCTGCCTCAGACAAGTTAGCTCCAACCTCTGTCTCACAGAGAGTCCTGTGTATGCACTGTCACCTACCCAGTCAGAAAGGTACAGGACTTTGCAGATCATTTAAGTGAATGCCATCGTATCCACAGTTTCATAGTAGTTCTCTCTTTTAATTATCTCATGTATGTTGTGTAGCTTTTTCATTACATATAAACAATCTTACCTTATTTGGTATAGCAGGTGTACTTGATCTTCCATCAGATGATTTTGATGTGGGGCACAGGCTATCACTTAAAACTGCAGCCACCTAAGAAGTTTCACATAAACATTTACTAAAAATATACAGAATTTTGTCATAAAACTATCCAACAAGAAAAAAGGCTGCCATCCTCACTCACACAGTATGCAAATTGAGATGTGATGCTGTTAGGAAATCTATGACAACTACTCCTGAATTTAAGCTTTCTTTCTGAATGCATCTTGGGTGCAGAGAATTTTCTTTCAAGCCACAATCACAACAGAGAGTAACGCTATTGGTTGGATTTGGTTCATTTAATTAACAACTTAATTACATATTATGTTAAAATATTACTGTCATTGCCTTCAGGTAGTTCAATACTTTCATATATTTAGTATTAAATACATATGTTTTCAGAACAGCTTTAAAGCTTTTAACAAAACCAATTCCAGGCTTTTCAGGTCATATTAAAATTAGAAGTATGCCAAAGAAAATAGGTACAGCTAAAAGTCTTATCAAACCACACTAGAAATTAGAAAATAAGCAACACAGTGTTTTGTGTCATTTATCTGGGTTCACCCTGTGTTACCATCTCGTAGCAGAGTATTAGTAAAGAGTACGAGGGTGACACTAAAAGTAATCAAATAGTCATAATCTTCATCTTTCAGCATTGTTTTCTGATAAGTTATGTTGAAGGCATAATATAATAAAAACTTGAAACAGTATAATACTATAACAATAGTCAAGTGTTCTTAATTTCAACTTATTTTTCATCATTGAAATGAAAATTAATAAAGAATTATGAAGAAAAGGTACATATTAAGACTACTTACTTCTCCACTGCCTGAAATCTTTTTCTGCTGACATTTTCTAACAACCTCCAACAACAGGGGACCACCCACGGTACCTTCTGTTTCTATAATTCCCAAATCTCGAGCTAAGTTTTCTCGACCATCAAGGCCATTTAGCTAGGGGCGGGGAACAATGGGGAGACATTTAAAAAAAAAAATCACAACACAGAAATAACTGTCAGAAAACACAATATATATTTTGTAATACAACTCCTAAATCTTTTTGGTCTTATTTAACTCATCAATATTTTGACTAAACAGTGATTATTTAAGACTTCCTGTTGCATGTGGACTAAAGTAATGATAGCCTATTGCATCATTTACTTCTGATCTGCACCCAAACTTATCACAGACCATCCAAAGTTGTTTTAAATATGCAAGTATTCATCATTAGCATGCTTCAGGATTTAAGGATTTATATAGTCAAGTTACTTTAGCCCATCACATTTAAAACTGGATCCTAGGACACCTAGCCAGTGGTTCCAGAAAATTCATAGATGATGGAGAGTCCCCATTCCCATGCATATAGATGTACACTAGCATAGGTCAATGTTTACTTTCAGTCTCTGTTTCACTTTAAAAAACATGGGTTTAGACAGAAACAGGGATGAAAGTAATTCAATATCAGCCAAAAAAAAAAAAAGAGTAAAAATTAAAGAAAAATACACTTTTTAAAAATGAACTTCACATTATAGCAGAAGCTGAATGCTGCAGCAAACCCAGGTTGCTTGGCATAACCTCAGAATTGCAATACTGCAAAGGGCACCTGTTCATCTTGAACTCTTACAATTATTTAGTGACACTTCCCATCAAAACACTGGTCAAGCAAATACTGAAGCAAGCCACTACTAGTCAAGCACACTGAAACATGGAGGATAAAGACAATACAACAGACTGCTCGGAGACAGGGGCTGGTAGAGGAAGACAAAGTAAAATCTTTCAGCACTATACACAGGCAGCCTCGGCCAACTTGCTTAACTTTGCCACATTTCATATATGCACTGCAATAGGTGAAAAAGATGCTTTTACTGGAAAAAGGAAGGGGGCGTTTCAAAGAGAATGAGATGCCTTTACAATGCAAATGAAGCACAGCTCCCAAGAGTGAGTGACAACATGACAGCAAGCATGACTCTTTCTATTTGGTAGCTTGAACATGAATCTTTGTACAGATGTGTCCTAGTGCAATAAATGCACCTAAGGATATTTGGCAAAGGATAACGGTGCATGGGATTTTCTTTGATTAAGTGCCTAAAATGAAACATGAACTTCTGAGAAACAGAATTCAATTAATTGATTTAATGAAGTTGGATTTTTTAATGAATTAACTACTTAAACTGACATTAAGAATAAAAATGAGTGTGTGAGAGGTAAAGAGAAATTCTTCAGTTAAATGGAATTGTTTCAAACCCAAATCTATTGTTAAAACTTTTGTATCATAAAAAGATACAAGGGGACAAACATGAAAAACCTCTAACTCAATATCAAAAGCCTAAAAAGAACCCGTTAGGCTACACGACCATTGTAGGTCCCTTCCAACTGATTCTATTCAATCACTTTTTGTCATGTGCATCTGCACAAAGTCCTTTGTTTTACTGAAATTTCTCTCAGAGTAGATTATTGACATTATTTTAATTTTCATGTAACAGTACTAACTTAATATAATGACATGCTAAAATTATTGGCAAAAAATGTTGCAGAAGTATTGTTGTATATACTGTTACATGATTTCACAAAAATTACCAATTTGTTAATTTTAAATTAACATATTATCAAGCATTGATTTTTGATAAAGGGAATACTCACTCATATTATCACGCTTTCCTGGAATATGTGTCTTTAAGACAGTAAGCACCTTTTACAGACTAAACATAAAAAATTATTCTAAATAAACACAACCAAATGGCTTATATCTACTATAGCTTCTGTATTCATTGCCATGCACTCCAAACAATCAGCATAGCATACAAACAAAACAAGTATCTCTTACTGTGCTTGATTCAGGCTGAAAAACAGCCAATGTAAAATCAAGATTAAAAAAACGTAGAAATTCTGCAACAAGACCTGCTACCAAGCGACCTAAAAAGGAAATGAGAAGAGTTAAAATACACCAGACGGAAACAACTCTTACTTCAAAGATTTAACATTAACATGGCTTCAGTAAGAGCATCTACATTGATTCAACACTCCTACAAAATCATTTAGACACTCAGCAAACTACCACCACATAGCTAATTTGTATACCAATTTCCTAATTTCTAACTCAGTCATCATATCAAAATTATTTAAGGCAGTAATACTGCAGCAGCATAAATAGAGAGTACGTAAAAAAATAATCTTACACCTGAATTTTGTAAACTATTCACCTGTATTAAAGACATCATTTTGGCATTTCTCCCATGTGTGCATTCATGACTGACTATACAGTGATTTTTCAATGGTTACTCTTTCTATTGGTCTAGAATGGCTCTGAGTCAGCATAATCATAGCTCATAATGAAATACTAATTTAAATGCACTAGTCACTTCAGTTAAAAATACAGCTTCAGCAATATTAACTGAAAAAAATTATAGATTGAGCTCTATTCTGTATGAATAGTAATTATGACATTTGACAGGAACAAAAGCATCCTTTGTCATGAAGACTCTACTGTTAATAAAAGATTCAAAGATTTAATCCTTTGTTTCCTATGTTTAATATACTTCTCAAAATAATAAACAAAGAACTTACCATCTTTTGTACCTAAAAAACTTTTCAAGCTTTCATTTACCAGAGGTGCTTTGTTCTGTCAAAAAGCAAAAACCAAACAGTAATTAACATCATCCTCGTACTAGCAAGAAATTGAAAGCCACAGCAAGTTGGTGTTTTGGTCTACACTGTTCCCAATGATGCCTGACACACATAATTCACTCCTTCAAAAGTCTACCTTGGTATTAATTCTACTACCTACAAGTAAAAGCTGCAGAGCCATACATTTACTTTGACAAATTAAAATTGTCTCAGTGTTTCTATTATAAAAGCTACAGAGCTAGAGTAATTTCACCAAAATCCTTATTAGCACACTGATTTTTATTTACTTAATGACTAAAAAGGTAAGTTAAGCAATTAACTTCCCAAACTGCTCCTCTAATATAGTGCCAATTTTGTTTAAAGAAATTCACTCCCACTTTTAAAAAAAATGAGAATTTACAAATCATCTAGACAAAGTGTGGACCACGCTAATTAGCGGTTCACAAATTAATACTAACCTATTAATTAAAAGATCTTCAAAGATATTATGAAAATGGTTTTTCTCCCTTGTTAGATTTGCCCTCTTCAACTTTTGATTTTTAAACAGAGATAAATCAATTTGCTGTGTTTGGGTTTGTCAAAGCAAATTCTAAATGCCATTCCTAACATATCAAAAAATCCTGGGTAAGAACCTAACTTGATACGTTTAAGCCTTTTGAAAAAAGGGTGAGCTGAGATCAACTGTAGCAAATCTCTTTGGCCCTATTACTCTCCAGACAGTCTGCAAGGTTGTTCTCTGGGTACTCTGTAATACGCTGAAGCTCCCCATAAGAGATGGCACTGTTCCACTATATCATTCTTCCACTACATCTTCTTCAGTAATCTTATGTTAGATTTCTGGAATATGGAATCTCATATCATAGAATAACTACTTCCCCTCCTCATTAATGTCACAATACTGTCCATTTTTCCAGAAAGAGCACAACCATCTAACCAGTATAGGAACAGGACAGTCTTCCATTCCTCTCTTTTAAACAGAGAGCCTTGACATACAGCAGCCTCTCTCTAGTTCTAGAAAATGGAAAGACACAGGAAATGAGGCAATGCCAGCATTACAAGGGGTCATAAAACTAGCATCTGCTTCCCACAGCAGTATTGTTACTTAATCATTCTAGTATCACATACCCTTAATACTATTATATTGTCAAGGTATCAGTACATAGTCCATCTCTTAATTCAGAATTCTTCCTTAATATAAGCAAATTATCCTGAAGTAAGCCTACAACATCCTTATGAGAAATACCAAAAGCATTAGCATACTTGGCAAGTTACTGCATTAAATTGCTTTCACAATACACTAGTAAAAAAAAACCCACTAAAATATTTTAAATTTCAAAACATGTTATTCTGATTTGATAAAATCTTCATCAGTCAGCTTGGGTGGGTTTTTTTAGGTTTTGGGGGTTTTTCTGAAGTAGTATTAGATGGAAAAGATATTTAGTTATTCTGGTCAATTGGACAGAAGCCATATAAAACCAGCAGAGAGTTACTTAAAGCTATAGTTTCAAAAGGCTACGTAACAATTCCTATTTCTAAACATCAGGAAACACCCCGATAGTCCTGTTCTGTGTTCTCTAAGCACCATGCTCTTATACAGTAATACATAATTTTCTCTTGTTACATTTCACAGATAGAAAGTATTAAAGCTATTATATTTAATTCTACATGAAGAACTATCAGGATGCTGATTTTCTTCTTTTGTAAGGTTGTCTTACCTCTACTTTCTCTTGTTCTTCCAATGCCAAAAAAACAGCTGCTCGCAACTCTGCCTGCCAAATAAAAAACAACAAACCAAACATCATTTCTACAAGCACTGTTTTCCCCATGCAAATAGAATGCAAAGAGCCAGCAAGTAGCTTCACAGCTATTTGTTTCTCCTCAAGCAACTTGGCATCGATTGTAATCTACATCGGTGCAATTAAGACACTTAAGATTATAGGCAATATGACTTGAGGCTGAGAAAGAGTTTTCAGCCAGAGAACAACAAGGGGGGAGGAGGGGCAGATTTGATACAAGACTTCCTAAATTATTTCTTCATACGCAAAAAGATTCCAAATTACCTTTATTATCTCCTATTAGTTTCTTCTGAGACTTAAAAATCTAGCTCTTTCAGGCAGCTTTGAAACACCTACCCTTCATTTACAATTCGTTCAGGAAACATGAACGAATAGCTTGTGGTAATACATCTTAAAAAGTTAATGTTAAGATATACAAATTCCTGTGATTTCTTGTCAGATCACATTCAAAGAATCAGAATTTCTCAAGGAAAAGAGAGCATGATTCCAGTCATTCAAATACTCCTGTAGTGAGGTTTTACTTAACTGAGTTTGAATATCTTATTATCAAGGATCAGACTTCTGCTAAAGACTATTTTGAATATTTAAGCTTAAGCCTTGCCTACTTTTTTAAACATTATAATTTCTCTACTTCTTTCATTGAACATGTCAAATGGACAACATACATTACATTTGATGAAGTAGTTTGCCACTTTAATTAACTCTTAATCTGACATTTTTAGGTAGCCAGCAGATAACACTGCAGTAAACTTATAAAAGACAGTGCTACTCTGTATGCCAGTTTTCTCAAGAGCAAAGAAGAAAGCAAGCTTTTAAAGAAATGTTGATTTCCATAACTAAGAACAATATGAAGAGTGTCTGGATTTTCTCATGTATATTATGAAAGGTAAGTAAACATGAGTTACCCTGTAACTGTTCCTTCCCACCAAAAAAAAATCCTTTCACAGTAAACATAAAATAAATACTTCCTTTTTAAGCATAACCCTCTTAGACACCTTTTTAAAAGGACTAAAAGCAATACAAAAAAGTTAAAAAGATTTCCCATCAGAAGTAGTGTAATGCTTACCACAATTATATGCAATGGTCATAGTGACACTGCAGTTACATTTTTTCAGGTGCTGGGGTACCGCATTCAATCAGCAAATCCTCTTATAAGCCATTAATTTAAATATTATTCTTACAAAGAAAATTTACATTTAACTTTCCCACCAATGGTTAACAACTTATTTAGTCTTATGTCACTATGAAAAACTTCAAATGGTTGCAAGGCTGACTTCTGTTTCCACTGATGCCACAGAAACAAAGTATACTTACATAAAAGGACAAGAATAACAAAGCATTCGTGAAACAGACTGGCTACTACAACTGTTCAAAATAAAAAGACACCACCCATTACGTGTGGGTACAGGTAAACCCCCTTAAGGGTCTGGATCACGAGACTATAGAACAAAGTTGTCTGAAAGTAGTTGCCATTACATCAGCTGATCCAGAGTCTGACCTGTTTGAGATTCTGGAACAATATCACAACTGTCATTCCTTTTCACATAACTCCGACCATTTGCCTGCTCCACTCCTCTAGGTCCAACCCAGTGGGTTTTAAATACTGACTGAAGCGCTTTTCTTCTTCTCATTTATTTAATGACACAGTGTCAACCTCTTCCAGATGTTGCCATTCCCCATTAATAGCAAGTTCACCTTTAGTTCCATTACTGACCAATTAATATCCTTAAGGTCAGGACCTCATCACCAGAAGACAATGCCACTGGTATTTACTACAACTCCCTTTGGCTTACCTGCATCACCTAGAATACCACCCTATAGCCTTTCCACAGATAAGCAGCCTTTCAACTGGTCCTTCAATCCTGCAAGCATCACAGTAAGTTTGAAGTTAAGCACTCCTGTACTATCTCCACAAAGAAGGTTTACATCATTCCAACACACTCACCTTCATCCTTTGAGGTGGGTACTGCTCAGATCATAGCAACCTATTCTCAAAGTATCATCTCAATAAATTTAGACATGGAACCATACACTTGAATCTGTGTGAGGTTAAAGCAGTAATTCTCAAGTTCATGAGGAAGAAAGTAAAAAGCAACAATAACACAGCTGAGGCCAAAGGAAAAATCACCCCAATACAAGGAGATGAATCATACTATACAGTAGGATGAACAATGTCGTATAGGCTTTTCAGGACCTGAGACAAGTCACAGAGAATTTGAACACCAGAGACTGAGACCACCATTATCAGGCATGGTCACAGTAATTTGCTTCCACCAGCAGATATGGAGGCTTATATAACTGCATAGATTAATCCATTTACACAGTGTTGTTCTCTCTCCTGCCCCCCCCCCTTTTTTTTTTAAATAAGTGTGAAGGGTTTGCATTTGGCTTTGCCCTAGTACCCTTTGACACCAGCCCAATCTGTTTTCCATACATTGTTACAATCTGCTCGACAGTGTATATCCATCACTCTTGCATCCACCAAACCCACAGGCTTCCTTCTCATCCTGTGGAAGGTGCCCATTCCCTTCTATCCCTAAGTAGTTTTATCAGGCAAGAGCTCATACTAATGAGACAGCAATTTGATTTCACTGAACTTAGCTAAAATGAGTAAGGCTAACATTGTATATGACAACCCCTGTCTGTACTCAGTGGGGAAATGTATGGGTTGTAATGAAACAAAAGTACATTTCCCCTTTTCCTCCCAGGCATTTACAGCTCATCAGACAACACTGCCTCTTGCTAATTGCTGTTGTACTGTTAATCAGAATCTTGTAGTCCATGAAAGCATCTTTTCTGCACTGAGCTGTAGTATCCCTCTTCAGAACCTAGAAAAGTTTATCCTGTTCTAAATGCAGAGCCTTTTGGGTGCATCTGAAGTACTGTATAGGAAAACAGCTCTCTCAATCTGCAGTTCCCTGGGAAAGGGGAAAACAGTTCTTAGTATCTCAAGAGCTCCCCAAACACATTTTTTAGGTGGCATCTCAAAAATGCCAATCCGATTTGGGAATATGCTCTTAATAGTACAAGCACCTACCTTAACAAGGTTATTAGTCTGATTTAGCAAACTTGTAAAAGCCATCCACAGCAGCTTACATAGCCCAATGCTTGATGAAAAGTAAAAAGATAAGATGGAGACTGTCCAGGACTGAAGGATGACCTGTAGCCTGTAACAGCTTCCCGCTTGAAGACTCCAACACGTAGGTATGTAGCATGCCCCTGGAGTTTTCTTTTATTGTGGCATTTGCCTTTTATTGGGCTGGCACACATTTGTTCAGCACTTAAACAAGAGAGCTATTGGAAAGCACTTGCATACTTCAAACTCATTTCTATGCCTTAGAGCATGTAGGCACGTCAGCAGCCAAAATGACTTCTTATAATAGAGACTAAACACAAACTGTGGATATGGCTTATTCCCTGCACTCTGTTCTTCTTTGCACAGCTACACAATTCACTTGCAAACATCCTGATATCCCAACACCTTCCAAAGAGATCTCAGCAAAATTTTTTTTTCCTATCAACCTGTATTCAATCCTTTCTACTCCTGAGGCAATATTTTAGATGAACAAGCAGTGGCTTCATGACACTGATCTCAATATGCTATGGAATACTAGATCAAAAAGTGGTCACTTCAATTTCATAAAATGCTTTGTATGTGTGGTATCGTTGAGTATGACATCGTCTGCTAGTTGACAAAGCCTTGCTGTCTCTCTCATACATCTCTCAACATCATTTCTACAAACCCTTAAAGTCCTGCAGCTTTTGCAGAGGAAGTCCTGGGATTTCCACACGCACACCCCCATTAAAGACTCATTAACAGAAAGCATAATATAAATTTAAACTTGCCAAATGCACATGCTACCACCCTTCTCAACCTGCTTAAGCAGCTGAGCATAAACAGTTTTTGAAGCCACATACAGACAACTTCCCTAATACAGCGCGTTCCCTAAGAAACAAGGGGTAGGCAAGTTCAGCAAGCATCAATAAGGGAGACACTCACTTCAGAGACCTGCAATGGGCCAGCTGAAGGTGTGGTTAAATGTATGTTTAGGGCAGTGAAATGATTAAAGTAATGCATAAGATTTTGCAGGGTAAAAGAATGCATTGCCACTGAGATAAACTGTTTACAGATCTTCCAGGTAAAACACAGGCATGTATAACTGCCATGTGCTCCAGCGCTATGAAACAACACCATGCATGCACAAGCATAAAGAGTCTCTTGCATATGTAAAATTTAGTGGCACACAGGCACCTTCCTGCACAGCTTTCAGCATCTCTACTTCCTAACTCCAAAACAACAGTCATGTACCTCAGTAGATACAGAGCAAGAAATGCAGAACATTAAGCAGTCTAACCACTGGTGATCACCCCAGGCTAAAACTCTGTGTGCATCAGGCTAAAAGCCTGTACCAGTCTATATGCATCACAAATCCAAAGCTGATGCCAAACCGTAAACAGCAACTTTACTACCAATGTTGCTCCATACCCTCCCCACCACTCTCCACCTGTGAAGTGAGGTTCTCATCCTTGAGCAGACCAGGAAAGTAGTTTGCCTGACCATTTTTTGTCCACTTCAGTGGAAAACTCTTCAACTCAGCAGCCTTAATTGGCTAAGGAAGTTAAACTTGCTGGCGATGTAATTGAAAAGATGAAGAATGCTGGAAAAAAATAGGAAGAATCCATACCACAAAGGCAGAAGTAAACACCTAAAAGCCATAAACTCTGAATACCTGCAGCTACATGTCATGTGCTTGCTCTGCATGTCACAACCAGTTCTCATTCTCGTATTCCTAAATCTAGGATACATCCACAATGTTAAGAGGACCATACTGACATTTAAATGTTGAATTTCAGTTAGTTAATCTGAAAATATAACCATTTATAATGATTTACTTAAGAAGAAATAGATGTTACATAAAAAAAATAATGATTCCCCTTGAATCCAAGAAATGAGTTGACTTTCTGATATGAACTACCTTAAAAAAACAAAAACCACAACATCCAGAAAACAGTAGATTACACTGTAGTGTGCAGCATACTCATCATGACAGTTACTAATTCAATGACTTTTAAAAGCATTGTTCATTATAATATATGGAATGAAGATGAAAAGGAAATACGACAATTTTAACTGACCTATGCATGTGCAGTTAACAGCCCATTTTAAAAATAGTGTTTTTATTCTAACACCACATTATCTGCCAGTACCTCAGCTGTCTTCATTTTGACCCAAATTAGGAAGAAATTAGCAAGAACAGTATCAGCTGGCCAAAAGCATTACTAGTCAAAGGATATTAGTGATGCTAACCTCCCTCATAATTGTAGCAATAGCAAGTTCCAGAGAAGATGCAAAATTCAGGTGGCATAAACTTAATTTTCTGGAATGAAAAAGATTAAAAGATACAAACCAAAACAAAATAAGATGTCAAAGAAGCACAGTAAGAAGCATAATGGCTCTTCTTGCTCTGATGAGGACAGCTTCCCTAAGAGAGAAAGATCACACTCTCTTCGAGACAGAAGAACATCTCTATTTGTACAGCACGCACCACACAGTATTAGTGATAATTTTCACTAAAGTACAAATATCTACAGTTATATTCTGTATGTTTACAGAGTTCATTAGGAAGCAGTCTTATCCATCAGATTAATTCAAATTATTAACAAAAATTGTATATAGACACACACTGCATCTTAGAGAAGACAGGGAATTCTCAACTGCAAGTGGCTAATGTATTTACTCATCTTCCAGTTTTCACAATATGACTTCATTAAATACTTCAGTGCTCAAAGTCTAAGATAAATAGAAAAATTGTGAACAGACTTTTAAAATGTCATACAAGTAACATTTTTTTCAGCTAAATAATCAACACCAATTCTCCCATGAAATTAATCTGAAAATAAGAATAAACTAATAAACTGCAACCCATTATAAAAATCATATTGTATTAGAGAACAAAGGCTTCACCATAAATTTTTTTCTAAAAATTACTCAGTCATTATGTTACAAAATGTGTTAGCTGACAGCCTGATATATTCTATCCACTGAAATAATTCCACTTGAACTCTAATCATTCCAGAGCTGTCTTTACCTGTAGTGCTTCATACCAATTCAGCCATACATTGACCATAATTTTTTCTCTTTAATGTATCTACTTCAATAAAACTCAAATACATTATTATAGTTTTCTAGTCTCATCCATCTTGAAAAAATGGTCAGCACGCACTCTGAAGTATAAAATAAACAACTGTTTTCATAACATGTAAATGTCATTCAGTTCTACCACATAATAAAAAAAATACTGACACGTAATAGATAAAGAAACACTATTGATCACAGGTATGTTTAATTTTCATGAAAGGATGATGGCAATTTGTTTTTTATGCATGGTATAATCTAATTTCAATTAAAAGCTGACAATTTAAGGAGACTTATTCAACCTTAATTCTTCTGGAAGACAATGGGCTTTTTGTCAGGTACTAGCAGAACAAATTTGATAAGTCATTAATACTATCAATCAGACAGACACTCAAACTCGCACACCAATTAAAGTTTACAGCTAAGAAAAAACACCATGAATTCCTCAAACGAGCAGCCTTAACCATAAGCATACCGATTATTAAACAGTAACTCCTAATATTAAAAAGAGACATAACCCAGTAAGTAGGATGCAGTTTGTATTGTTTTAAGTCATTTGCTAGTTTGCCTTAAGGATACTTTATGCCATATTGGATACTACACACTTTCAGCATTATACAATAGTGAAGACTACAATAAATATATTTACACAAAACTCAGCAAACCAGCAACTGTAGTACAAAAATTTGCATTCTACACAAAGGTAGGAGTTAAGAAACTACAGCTTGTATGCTCAATATGACCTAATTGGCTTGATTTTTTTTTTATCACCATACTTTTATTGGTTAAAACTATGTGAGAGGTTAGCAGGTGGCCCAAAAGGCCTATTTGACATTTAACTAGAAAAAGGTCTCCCTATTCAAAACACAGTTACATGAGCTAGATTCTTCATCTACTTATGGAATTTAAATAAGGATTAGCCATTTGAAATGAAAGAACAACACATTTTTAATAATACTATTTTTTTGAAAAGTATGACAACTACCCCAAAATCCAGTGGGCTTCCAAGTACACACAAAGATGCTCTTACTTCCTTTAACTACTTCAGTTGTTGAACTGTTCCTGAAATATCAGCAATGATCATCCACCTCTTGAATGCTTAAAATAGAACACTGTGAATAAACACCACCATCCTTGATCTGAAATCCAAACTTCATTTCTCCTTTAGCTTGGAAGGGAATCCAGCAGTTCTTATGCTTCCAAATCTGTATGGCTCTTTGCTACACAACAGTTATTGCTGGAAGCTTCTAACTTGAACAAGAACCCAGAGAACCAATTTTCATACCCTCTCTGACACACGCACAGGCTATATCACAGGCTTGGAAGTAGTGTACACTCCACTACAATATTACCTTCCATGTATTTTCTTACCACAGCATTATTTGTTCCCTGTAGACAGGCAGCATCCCCAGAGAGTTTCCAGGTTTAGCAAGCCCCCAAGACAGCTCAAGCAACCCACTTTCAAGAAGAACATTGTTTAAACGGCGACCCTCAAGAACCCCTGCTTGAAATTTTCAACTGAAGCTCTTCGTATCGAAGCAGAGAGAAACTCTATCCACCTGGTCCCGCACCACCCGGCGGCAGAATGTTTCCAGCGGGTTTGGCATCAGCAAGAGCTCTTGCGGCCACACGGTTTCCACGAGGGCAAAACCGCCCAGCCGGGCGCCGGGCTCCCTGCGGCGGCCGAGCGCTCCCCCTCCCTCTCCCCGGCCTGGGCGGTCTTGCAGCTCCTGCGGCCGCCGGGCAGACCCCCTGCGGCGGTCGGGCCTCGGGCCCTCGGCTCCGCCTCGAGCACGTACCCGCTCCACCACGCACGGCAGGCGCTGGACTCGGCTCCTCGCCGAGCCCCGGGCCGAGCGGCGGGGGAGCACCACGGGCAAAGCAGGCGCCACCGCCAGGCCGCGACGCCGAGTGAGGGCCCCAGCCGGGAACACCGGCTGGAAGCAGCAGCGAGAGGGGACGAAGCCCGCGAAGCCTCAGCCCCCGCCGCGCTCCGAAGGGCCGTTAGCCGCCGCCGGCGCCAGCCAGCGCTCCCCCCCTTCCCCGCCGGGCGGCATGTGCGCGGGCGAGAGGCTCTCCTTCCCCCCACCTTAATCTTATTGAGCACCCCGCTGCTCTCCAGCGTCTGCACCAGCAGGTCCCGCAGCTCCGTGTCCTCCTCCGTCGCTGCGGCCGCCATCTTGTTTCTCCCTGACAACCGCCCAAACTGCGCTAGCGGTAGGACGAGCGCGGCAGATTCGCCTCCGCTACCGGCGGAGGCACCGGCCCGGCGGCGGACCCGAGGAAACGAGGCGGCTGCGGAGCCGGCGCCCACCCTCAGTACCGCTCCGAAAGGGGACGCGGAGAGACCGCGGCCACCCGGCGCCCCTGCCGCCCGCAGCGCCTGGAAACTGCGGCGGCGAATAAGCAGCGCGGCCGCCGGCGCCGGGCGGGAAGTTTAAAGCGGGGGGCGGCGCTAACGGCTGAACCGCGCGGCCGATCGCCTTCGGCGGCGGCGCCGCAAACAGCTCCCCCCCCCCAAAAAAAACCTGCCCCTCAGCTCCGCCCGCCCTCTCCCGCACCCGGTCTGCGTTCGTGCTCTCTCACCCTAAAGCGGGGGGCACTGAAATAGGTTTAAGGAGCGAACAACCCTCCCCGGAGCCGGGCTCGCTCCAAGGCAGACGCAGTCCCTGGTCTCGGGGGGGGCGAGGTCTCCGCCGCTGCTCTGCCCTGCACAGGGGCACCCGGCGTCGAAGAGTGGTAAAAGGGGTTCTAGAGTCCTAGTTTCGTAATAAGCGTGTTCCTTCCGTTAAAAGCGTTGGGCGGTGTCGTAGCTGGGCGAGGCTTCCAGGTTATTGTGCCTTTAAAAAAAAAGGTACTAAGCTTTGGGAGTTGTAATGCTTAATTCGCAGCACTACGTGTTGCCCTTCAGGCCTTTTTTTTCCACGCTGAGCTTGCCGTGATTTTTCTTGAAGAGTACTCAAATACATGATAAAGAATTTCAGAAGCTACGAATATTTCAACGTGAGGGTGGAGCAAGAGGTTGCCTGAAGTTATTTTCGAAAGCGGGCGGTAGGTGGCACCGGTTCTTCAGTGATGCCCCAAAGGCTCGGCCAAGCCTGGGAGGGCGGGGGTCGTCCGCACCGCCCCGCTCCGACCGAAGCCACGGGAGGTGCTGCGGGACGGACGCCCGCGACCCTTCCTGCAGCCGCTCAGAGAACGTACCGCTGCGTTTGGGAGTCCTGAAGTTTGGAAACATTAGCAGTCTTTCACTTCGGTACAAGTCCCTGCTAAAATCAACCCGCAACGCCGCACTTCTTGAGCAAGACGCTAATGGTTTCCACCTAATTTTTCAAAACCCTATCAGAAAGAAATCATAAATGCAGAAGCAGAATGTCTGGTATTGCAGCTACCATTTTTATTTGTCCACTAAATGTCCGAACCCCATGGAAAGACAAAACCCGCTTGACAAGATACTTGATGGAGACTGCAAAGCAAAGGAAAATAAAAATCAGTAGACTTAGAAGATAGTTTATAATTTGTAAAATTCATTTCAGCATTTCAGTAACAGTGGCTTCCTGCTCTCAAACAGATGTAGAATATTTCAAATCCAGTCTGCAGATAACCCTTTGTGAGCTCTGCAAAATACCAGAATATTACTTAGCTAAATATTCAACACCTAGAGGGCAGCAAAGCATTCTAATAGTCCGACTTCCTACCCGGCACACAATTTACCATCTCAAACTGTCTCGTGTTTGAAGGAAATGTTGCCATTATGAATGTATGTAATTCCCAAGTCTACCTTTATGGAAATCACAGAAACTCATTGTAAAAGATAAACCAAAATTATTTTTACTGTTTGTACAGCAATGTAAATGTGACTAATGTTACCATGGAAAGAAAAAAAAGTCTTTTTTCATGGGAAACCCAGTATAGCTTTTAAAAGATTCTGTAAAATTAACACTGCATTATTAAAAAAGAAAAAATGTTGTGGTGGCATTGCTACAGGCTCTTAACACAATTTAAATCAAATTTAAGCTTTCAAAGTCATGCATGGACCAAGTCTATTGACTTAAAATTAGGACACGGGAATATATATACATTCCAAAATTTGTGCATCTGCTCAGAGTACTGTAAATGTCTTATTAACACACAGTTAAGAATAAAGTCTAGCTAGATTTGTTTGTTCTATCTGTTCAATGGGAATAATCGAAGCAAAATAACGCATTGTGTCAGGGAGACAAAATTTGAAACTCTCTATCTTGCCTCTTAAATCCCAATCTCAATGTAAACTGCTGGAAGCTAGAAAAATGTATTCTTCTGAAGTGTTTAATATAAAATCTTTAAAGATGAATCATGCCAACCTCATTTTGTTTTGTTGGGGTTTTTTTCCGGGCAACACATTTCAGCATATAAACATACAAGGATCTAAGATACAACTACATTTGTTCAGAAATTTTTGAGGAAAATATTATTTTCATGAAAAATTTAAAAGAAAATTTTCAAATGTTCTGACATTTCCTCAGTTTTCCACCAATTCCTAATCATAGCATCATGAGTGTTAATAGGGAGCGAACAGGAGAAATAAGTCAATACTGAAATCAAAGATCATAGTAATTTTAATGAGAAATTCCCCAAATGAGGTCTATTATTTTTCACTACAATGCTTCTCAGATTTAGGAGACCAACCTGTTCTCACAATTAATTATATATAGTATTAAAAATCCAATTTAACTCTAAGCTGGTGATTGAGGCTCTAGTTCAGGAAAGCACTTCCGTACTTTTTTAGTTTTATCCCAGTCAGTTCAGAAGAGTATTCTAAACTGGTTGGTATGTGCTTGTGTCCTAGGATTTGAATGTGTGTGAATCTGTGGAGCCACATCCCCATAATGCAGGACACAGTTATGGGTCAGGTACTGAGTTTCAAACTGGACAGCCAGCCTGTTGACTGGGGGAATGGCTGTAACAGATCTTGTATCTGAGTGAGGATGTTGTCACACTTCAGGAAAAGCCAAAGGTCCCAACAGCTTCCGTGGCTTCTATGCAGATATTCATACATATTAATTTCTTGTCCTTTCATTATGACTTCAGTGGTAAATTCTTTCTGTCTTACTCCTAATGAACAGTCTCTTATGTTGTGCATAATTCCACCAAACTCAGTGGAGGCTACCAGTGGCATAAAGTACAGCTCAAACTGACCGAAGTGCCTAAATCTTTCTTTTAACACAACCAAGTGTCAGAACATAGAAGAAATACTAAATTCCAGGCAGTAATTACTAAATGAAGTCTTGGCACCACTTTACATCTTATAAACCTGGATATTTACACATGCTTGTCAACAATCCCCAATATTCTGAGCTGTATTAAGATGGCCTGCCTATCTGCCAACTATTGGTGAAAGATGCATGTATTTTTGTTTCACAAATGATTATTTGAGAAAGCAGTCTTATTATGATTGGTTTTACTCTTCAAACAGGTTGCAACAACAGCTGTTCACATTACTGAAGTAATGAACTTTAAGAGCAGAACATTTTCTAATCTTAACATAAAAAGGTTGAAAACACTGAAAGTAGAACTTGGCTTTCTCATTTTAGGTATCAGCATCTGCATCTGACACAACATTTGATTTAAAATTATTGTTTTATTAACAATTTTCTTGTTTCCAGAACATAGGTAAATATTAAATGGTAAGTCTTAAGGAGATAATTATCCAACATAGCTCTCCATTGTCTATCTTTCTCATGTTCCTCAAAAACATTCTCTTTAATAATAGCCTCCATCAACATGCACTATTTTGTAATGATATCGTGACATAGAAATATGGCTTCCTTGTCCTAATAGCTTAAGAGCGTACATGATTTTTTAGTAGCTTTGGATCTCTCTTTAAAACCACCTTAATGGGAAACTTGTCTTTGGGCTTAGTTTTCACAAAGTGTCAAGTGTTAAGTTGGCAGCCTCAGAGTGTAAATCCCTATAGCACCTCAAAACAGGACTAAAAGTGGAGCACAAGACCTTGCAAGCTAGACTGTATGTGTAGTACAGCCCACTCGTTTCATCCCTAGTCTGCAAAGATAAAATCCAAGACTGAGAGAATTAACTCAGTGTCCATGTCTACTGACTCCTCACGGGCAGTGACAAAGACTTCAGTGCCAGATGGAGCAGTGATGCCCTCAGCAGCAGGAGGAGGAGGAGCAGGACTGAGTACAAAGATCTGGAGAGCTTCACTATTTTTAACTCATCAGAAAAATTTCTGAAACTTCTGATACCTCAGACACTGTCAGAGACAACAGCAGATGGATCACTTGTTCCACACAGCACGACATTTTCATGTTTCCACAGAAAGGTGGGCAAAGAGATTAGTTTTGCCTCATCCTCCTTCTTACTGTGTAAACATAACCAAAAAAATCTTGCCAGTGAATAATACTGTAACTTTGAACAAAGACCTTATTACACAGACTGTAATTAATCTGTTCAAAACAAATGTTGTTTTGCTTGTGGAAGTAGATCTGCCCACATTATTTCTCAAGTATGTTAAAGGAGGATGGCTGTGACATAACCCCCCTGCTTCAAAACTATACAGTAGTAATTAATAACCATGCTTTGTATTTATGATTCACGCATCAGCAGAGAGAGAGGCGTTGGAATCTGTTTCACAGTTTACCGTAGCGCTGAGAAAACGTGAACCAAGTCCTGCCTGGGATACTTGTGGCTCATCCCTCCGGGTTCCTTCCTCCTCTGAAGCTTCCTATCGTTTCCAAACACGACTGCTACCATTTCAAACTTCCCTCGTCATTCTGAAGTTCACCACAGACGCCTGTGTCAGCATTCCCCTCTTCCCCTAACTGGGCGAGCTTTGGTCAGGTCTCCCATCTGCTGTCTGAGTAGGGGACTTAAAAATACGGAGCGTTCTTATTGCACTGCTGAAGACCTGTGTGCCGCACAAGTTTTCAGGAGGAAAGCCAAATAATTAAAACCTAGAATATGCTAAAGAAGAACAACCAAAACCTCAGGATGAGCAAAAACCATGCCTAGAAATGGTTTCCCTCCGCGGCCACCCGATTCTTCTGCCTTGCCCGCGCACACCCGGGCCCGAGCCCGGGCCCGCTCCCCGGGTCGCCCGACTCCAGCGGCGCCCGGCCGCAGGGAAGCCGAGGAGCGCCATCGCCCCCTCAAGCCCGCCGGGGCAGGGGCTCTGCGGCGGCTGCGAGGCTTCGGGCAGGCCGCGGGA